CATGGGCACACAAAATATAAATATGTTTAATTTGTGTGATTTTATCCGTATGCAACCGATGAGGTATTTGAAAATATCAATTTAAACTATTAAATAATAAAATTTGTTATCAATTAATATAGAGATTTTTTAATATTTAATAAGTAGGGATGGCAACGGACCCCCACGGGTGCAGGGACTCCCTCCCCATCCCCTATCTCTGCCAATGGCAGGTACGGGGATCCCATGGGGATTTTTGACTAATGGTCAAAAATAGCTTTCGTTCTCATATCCGCGAGAAATGATAAGTACCCACGGTTATTCGAAGTCCGTGCCAAATAAAACTATCATCTATTCCAATAGTCTAAATCATAAGCACTAAAGCATAAAAACTGTAGCTTCAAAAACTACAGCTAATTGATACTTGGAGGTTGGAGTTGAAAAGCTTGAGAATTGGAGGCAGAGCCGTAGAGGAAGAAGGACGACCTAAGCTGAAGGTGAGCGGTGACCCATGAGTGGAGTGGAGGCAACTCAAGCAATAGCTAGCCATTGTCGATTTCAAGGGTAGTGACGACACGGTTAGAGCTTGAAGGTGAGGATTGAGAAGGACTACCCAACCTTGGAGCTAGAGGTGAATGGTGAGCGGTGAGCATTGCAATGGTTACACAGCACAATGGGTAGTGACGGCATGGTGAAATCTTAATCTTGAAAGGAATCACAAATGAGATCATGAGTTGAGGATAGAGGATTGAGCAAACAGAAGCATTGTTGTGGTTGCACAGCACAATGGCTAGTGACAGCATGGTGAGATCTTGATCTTGAAGGGAATCATAGATGAGATGAGGAGTTGAGGACAGAGGATTGAGCAAACAAAAAGAGTTACAGTGTAGAGTGGTAGAAGAGACTGGAGACTAGAGGATCGAGGAATCGCAAGCAACAAGCAAATTTGAAATCTTTGGCTTTAAAAAGTCCTTCTAGGGTTATCAATTTAATTAGGCTTGGCAATTAGGAGGTTTAAGAAGATTGGATTCACAAAAAGAATGGGCTGGGTAAGATAATTTGGGTTTGGAAAATTGAAAAAAGAATGGGTTGTGAAATTTAGGTTGTATTGGTATTGGATTAGCTAATTAAAATGGGTAAGTAAAAATTAATTGCTAATATATTTACAAAAAATATATATATATAAATAAATTTATTTTTTTTT